ATCCAAATCAACTAGGATTATCAAACTTAATTAAAAAAGTAAGCCAATATGCCAGATTTAAGTGATGAGGATTTTTTACAGTCCTGATTTGAATTCAGAAGTTTCACTGAGATTAATCTTTCTTGGCTCTTGCAACTCTGCGGTTACAACCGTTCATTTGCAGCAAGTTGGTCTCAGGTTTGAATCCCATCCTGAGAGTTGTGCATGAACTGTCCATGTGTGAGGTTATATTCTGATGCTCCAACTTCCTCCTGGACAAAAATGGGTTTATGTTAGTTTCCCAGAGGCAAGTTTTGCTGCTCAAAGTTTGCTCTTCTATAGCCAAAGAGATGTATTTGAGTTTTTCATCTAAACCTCATTTGAGTTTCTATTTTGTCTCAAATGTTTCTCATATTTTTCTCCTAAAATTTACTAGGAGTATTAAGTTGAGATGCTAGCATTAAAGTACAGGAGCCCTAGCTAAGATCTAAACCAGATACCTTGAAAAATAAATTTAACTGAATTTCTCCTTTTCATATCCCCTATAATGTTAAATCTCATATACTTCCATAGTGCTTTTTCAAGTCTTTGACCAAAGCGCTTTGCACTACATTCAGTTATTCACGCACAGACTGATGGTGGCAAGCTATGTTGTAGCCACTGCTGCCCTGGGACTCTCTGACAGAAGCAAGGCTGCCGTGCGCTGACGCCACCTGGCCCTCTGATCACCATCAGCAGGCAATGCTGAACACACAACCCTCCCGATTAGGGGTGGGTATTGCCAAAGACGTCACGATTCGATTCGAATCACGATTAACAGGCCACGATGCGATTCTATCACGATGCATTACGATATTTGAATTATTGCGATGCATTGCAATATTTTCTCCTCCATGTTTTGTTTTTGAATGACTCGTCTCAGTATCCCGCGGCCGGAAATGCTTGTGACACAAGGCAGTGTGTGTCAACACATTTGCTGCGTCATCTGCTGTACTGGAAGTTGTATTACACTTGTTTTTGGCTGATGTTCGCCAACCATTCATGCAATTTTATTTATACATTTTTTAAATTAATAATCGATACTTGGCGTCAAGAATCGATGCAGTAGATCACGAAAATTAGAATCACGATGCATCATCATGACGATTATTTTGCACACCCCTAGTATGCAGTATAACTTAAACATG